TCTTCCAAATGACTCTGCACCATCTCAGGGTCTACACATGGTAGTCTGGCGTCTTGCTGCTGCCTCTCTACAACCCCAGTGAGAGACTTGTCATGGCTCTCGCTTAGGAACACTGAGGCAACGAACTCGTTGAGGAGTTCAGCCTTGTTCCCTCTGTCCATCACCAATTGTTTCTGCCCATTTAGCAGGGGTCCTATTCCTCCCTGGGCCTTCCTTTTACTCCCTATATATCTAAAAAACAATTTCTTGTTGTCTTTTACTTGGGTTGCCATCCTCAGCTCCATTGTAGCTTTGGCCCGTCTAACTGCCTCCCTACAAGTATGAGCAGAGGAGGTATATTCATCTTTGGTGATCTCTCCCTGTTTCCACTTTTTATGTGCTCCCCATTTGGCCCTTAGGCTGCCCTGGATTTCTCTGGTCAGCCAGGGAAGCCTCCTGGCCCCTTTCTCTCTTTTACCTCACAAGGGGATCGTCTTGCTTTGTGCCCAAAGGATCGTTTCCTTAAGGCACAGCCACCCTTCTTGGGCTCCCATCACTTCAAAACTCCTACTCTGCAGTGCGTCCTTGACTAATCGCCTGAGTTCATTGAGATCAGCTTTCCTAAAGTCTAGCACTTTCACCCTACTAGTTACCTTACCCACTCGACGTCTTATGGTGAATTCTATTATTAGGTGATCACCGTCCCCCAGATGGCTACCGATCTGTAGGTCCCCTACCATGTCATCCCCCGTTGCCAATACCAGATCCAGTATGGCATTCCCCCTAGTGGGACCGTGAACACACTAGTGGGACCGTGTTCCTCATGGTCCTTATGACAAACCAGGGCTTTCCTTCCCCTTTCCATACACAAACCAGGGGTTTTCCTACATAGGGTGCCTGGCACAGAGACTAGACTCGAGTGCCACTCTGCAGCCCCAGGGATGGGGGTTAGGGCACACTTTTTGTCCCTGGCAAGAGGCACCAAGCTGTAGAACAGCAGAGGATGGAGAGACAGAACTCTTGGGTCCCTTTTGCAGCCCTAACATCACCATGGTAGGTTATGGAAAGCAAATGATGTCTCTATGCCTAAGTTTCCCTGCCAGGAGGTGCTGTGCATGGGGCAGTGGAGCTTTGGGGACTGATGTTTGATGCTCCCGGAGGGTCTTGACCCCCCTCAACCCACATGGACTCAACACTGTAACCAATTTTCACCTGACAACAGGGGCTGAGCACGATGCCTTCTCCACTGTCTCTGTGCGAGCCAGGGCCTTCCTAGCATGGCCCCTGGAGTTCTTGTGTCTTGTTGGAGCCAGGTCCTGTGCACATGCTCCCAGGTTATGTCCTAAACCTGGATCCTCCCAGTTCCTTGTAGCCCCACCCCCAGAGCTCCCATTCCCCCTCTGTCCGCCTGGGACAGGAGAAGGGCAGGCAGGGTTGTGCCCTGAGGAGGGGTGAGCTATTCCCAGCCCTTCTCTCTTGTCCCTCTAGGTCACATCGAGTCCTGCAGGGAGCCGGGCATTGCTCAATGCCACAACCAACCGGGACCCCTCGCCAGCAGCTGCTCTTGTAGCTGGCCTTGAAGGGGTGCACACATCTCGCCGGCTGGCCAGGATGACCCCCTTCTGGAGAACAGTGGGCACCAAACCCATAGGAGCTTACTGCCGGTATGGCCTGGAGTGCAGCACCAAGGCATGCAGGTGAATGTGGGTCCTGAGGAGGAACAGGCTGGGGAGTAGTTACCTGCACTGCCAGGCCTAGGCTGGAGGACAAGGTGCTCCCGGCACCTGGCCTTGGCATCACATCACCTTATGGGCATCCCCAGAACTAGCCCCAGGTCCTATGGGGTGCGATGCAGGGGGCGAAGATAGCTTCATGAGCTGAGTCCAAGAATGGAGCTGCCGCTGGGAAGGGGATACCTGTGTACTGGGAGACTCTGCACATCAGGGGTGTTATACTGCATATTCATGGAGCCCTGCTGGACTAATACAAGCATGGACAGTTCCTCCCTAGTCCATCAAAGAAAGGTCACAGCCTGGGCCTCCACAGATAGGCTCCACAATGCCCCTCAGCCCCCACCAGCAACTGCCTGCCAGTCTTCCAGCCTTGGCTTCCCATTTAGCTCCCCCTTCTATTTCAGTCCTGGCCTGCCCCCTCCAGAGCTGTACTGATGCCTCTGTGGCCCGGTGGTGGTTGGGTTTGGTACCATCTCTGTGGCTTACTCCACTGAAATGGGGACACCAACATCCAGCTGGCAGGGGGGAGAGACAAGCTGGGAATTGTAGTGGGGCAGGGTGTGAGGTGTTGTTTGCTCCTGCTAGGCTCACAGCTGCTTTCCCTTCCCAGGGATGGACGCTGCGTTCCCCTGCAGTACGAGAGCTGAAGCTTCATCCCGGCTGGAAGCAGCACTTTCTTCCTGCCCAAGAACATGGGGGTGCAGCGCATCCCCAGGTTCCTGAGAGCATTTGGGAGCACCTGACTCTCGAGCAGGATAGCTAAGCACATTGCCCCACACATACCACCCTAACAATGGGCCTGGAAACAGACAACTCATGGCTGCAGGTTTCAGCCACAGGGGGACACCAGTGAGCCACAGGTCCCTTCTCTGCATGGTGGAAAGAGAACTGCTCTGGTCCCAAGAGGAGTGTGGACCCCATCTTATCCCCAGCCCAAGCTGCAAGGCAGTTCTCTGGATGCGAGCTCTTTCCAGTCCTCCGCGATATCAGCACCAACTGCAGCCACTCACAGACTGTTGCTGTGCCTGGTAACTCCTGAGACTGGGGGCAGCAGAAGGGGATGGGGACACACACACACACACACACACACACACACACACACACACACACACACACACTCTCTCTCTCTCCCTGAAAAGCCCATTGATCCTGACTTCACTCTATGCAGGGAAAATTTAGGTCGCTTCTAAAGACCTAGAAGTGTCAGCAATTTCCAGTCCCCAGAGCTGAGACCCCTCTAACACAGAGCTGCCCTGTGGGACCTTCCATGTGTTCCATGTGCACAGAGCCCCCATCCAGAAGGATCCTCTTGGTGCCCTCCTTCCAAGTCAATAGCAGGAGTGTCAGTGTGGTGTCCCACTGGTGGGCTGCTGGGGTGGGGGATAGCCTAAGAGATTTCCCAGAGTTAGAGAGCCTTGGTAGTCCATCATTGATGGTTAGATTCATAGATGTCTATGATGTCTATGATGTTCTAGGCAGCTGGACTGTGTCCAGTGCTGCTCTGCAGGTGCCCCAGAGTGATGATCACTAGGGAAAAATGTGGTCTTCCTTCTGGAGACCCCTGGGTTCTGCAATGTTAATGGTGACTGCTACGGCCTGCACAGTGGGGATGGATGTCTAGCAGAATGTAGTGCCTACACACCTTGCTCTCTCAGTTCACCACGGACCCAGCAAAACATGAGCCCCAGAACAGTGCCTCACTGACTGATTGAGCTACATAGTCCAAAAACAAACAATAAATGCATCTACCCTCAAAGCTTGCAGCTTCCTGATTTTGCCTGACAGAGGAATAGAAACTGCTCGGAACAGTTTGCTCAGCAAGCAGCTGATCTGCTCAGAGAACTGGGGTCCTACAAACTGGGGTCCTTAGTTGTCAGATGTGGGCAGATCCCCAACTCCCTTGGGGAGATGTCTGGCTGGGAGTTGAACTCTCTGAGCCATTTTCTGGCACCATGGGTGCTCTGAGGGACCATCCATGCACACAGCTCTGCTGCAGGGCCTGTGGGGACAGTTACAAGAACACAGAAACTTCCCCTTCAGTTTTTCTGCAACAAGTGGTTGTGTTTCAGTGTCTGCGGCATACTATGTGAAGTAACTACTGTACATTGCTAGTACCTCATGTAACTAACATGTAACAAACTACATGTCCAGGAAATCATGCTGTGCATAGAGCTCCAAAAGTTGGGGTTGGGCTAGATCCCTGAACTCCCTTGTAGCCCTACTTTTCTATGATTCTGTAAGAGGCCGGACTGTGGAATCATAGAGGATTTATGAGGTTAAAAATTGCCCTAAAGATTGGAAAGCTTGAATGAAGCTCCAAATTCTTCACAGGCTTGTAAGAAGAAAACAACCCAGAGAGGCCTAAATGCCGAGATTAGGAAACAATTACCTGAAATGGGTAGGGCCAGATTAACTCTTTAGTGGGCCCTAAGCAAACAAACTCGTGGATCCCTACATTTTTTCACTCAATAATTAAAATATGTAAAATAAGCATAGGGCATGTGCCTAGTTTGCCTATGCATTAATCTGGCCCTGGAAACAGAGCTATCCAGCTGGTGGCTAGATGCAGCACACAAGGGGTTAAAATGTGGTGGGAGGGGAGGGAGCCCAACTACTTCCTACACACTCAGACAGGGGAGCCCAGCGCTTCCCTGGCTCTACACCACCTCCCAGAATGCTCCATCTCCTGGGAGCACCAATGAAAGGAGGAACTCTCAGCATTTTCTGAGTAATCTGAAGCAAATCCAGAGCTGTCAGGGTCTTCCCCAGATTAGACGGGACACTAAGTATTGGTTGGTTCTTGGCTTGCAATGTTATCTCTGGTTCCAGGGAGACTGGTATTACCACACTATGCAAGGCCTCACCCTGAGCAGTGCTAAGCTCATCCCTTTTCCATTGACTCCCACGTGGTCAGGATATACTCAATACTGGTTTCTGGACCAGCCATGTATCCACATGCCCTTCAGGCACCATGTCAATTCACCCTGCCACGCTACATCCCCAGCATGTCCTGGAAGAGGTGGACTTGTGCATCAGGTCAGTACTAACATAGAGAACATCTGAATTAACAGCTTCAAGGGGGCCATGCCTGCTGGCACATGCCAACAGGGAGGGATATACTCTGAATGATGGTGTGTATTTGCCTCTCACCCCAGCCCCATGGCCCTCCATCCAATTCTTCTTTCATGTGACAAAAAACAGCGTCCATATCTTTATTTGTGTGTGTTCTGGTGTTTTTGTTGATTCAGGAGCTCTTGGTCATCAGAAACATTACCAGGGATCACTATGTGGAACTGGCTCTCATTAACCCCGCTCCACCCAATGATCCTACATGACAGGAGCTGGGGTGACTGCTTTGGGTATCAATCCAAGCCCCAAGCACACCCCAGTTCCAAAGTCCCAGATGTGTGGGCCTGGTTTGAAGTGAAACCCCAACCTTGGTGTCGGTGGCTATCAGCCCAGAGTAGATGCTGTTGCATATTGGCTCCCAGGTCCTGCCAGGCTGGCACAGAGCCCAACCCAGTCTGTAGCTGTGTAGGTTTGTAGGTGCTGGGTGAAGGGACACTTTCTATGTGTTTCTCTGACATCTGGTGGCTGCTCCCAGCAGATCCAGCTAATCCAGAGTCCAGGCAGTGGTTTGCAGAGTAACTGGATTGGGCATTTCTTGGTACCAGGAAAACTGCTCCTCTCAGAACACACAGATTCATAGTTTGTTAAGACCAGAGGGAACCATTCTAGTTCCCTAGTCTAGGGCTTCTCAAACTTTGTCATGGTAAGCCTTGCTGAGCTATGAAAAAAACAACTGCGCCTCCCCATAGTTTGCAATGGTTTTGTGTGTGTGTGTGTGTGTGTGTGGGGGGGGGGGGGGGGGGGTGGGGGGTGTTGT